AACCCTAAAAAATGGTGTATATGGTGGCTTGTCTTGATTTTATGGTGCCATTCCCTAAATTTATGAAAATCTTTTCCCAATTCTAGAAAATTTGTCTTAGTTTATGGGCGAATATTTTTTAGGGCGATTTTTCTTTAATCTAGAAAAATATTTTTATGAGTGAGTACTCGAAAAAGTAGAACTAGCTATTCTACAAAAGGTGATAATCATAGAAAAAAACAACAAAGCTCAAATTAAAGAAATTTTGACAAAATTCCATGATGATCCTATAGAAGGAGGTCACACTGGTATTGCGCGAACCCAGTTAAAAATCAAAAGATTTTATTATTGTCCTCAATTGACTAAGACATTATTAAAGTATGTAAGGACTTGTTTGGAATGCAAACAAACCAAAACAACAACAAATACTAAAACACCATTAAAATTCACACCAACGTCAGCAACATTATTTGATACCGTTTAAGTTGATACCATCGGTCCATTACCGAAATCGGAAGACGGAAATGAATATGCAGTTACAATCATTTGCGATCTAACTAAGTTTTTAGTCACTATTTTAACACCGAATAGTTGCAAAGGCTATATTTAAATCATTTATATTGAAGTACGGTCCAATGAAGACGTTCATTACGGATCAAGGCACAGAATACAAAAATTCGCTTATAAATGAATTATGCAAATATAAGCATATAGAAAATCTAACATCTAGCGCTCACCATCATCAAACTCTAAGAACAATAGAAGAAGCCACCGAACTTTCAATGAATATATGTATACGTTCACACATATCAGTTGACAAAAGTGATTGGGACATTTGGTTACCATATTTCACTTTTTACTTCAATACAACATCTTCAGTAGTTCATGACTATTGCCCATTTGAACTAGTATTTGGCAGATTACCCAGACATTTCATTTCAGTGAAATAAACAAGATAGACCCAATATACAACTTAGAAGACTATTCCAAAGAACTTAAATACAGACTAGAAATGTCATACAATAGAGCTAGAAGAATGTGAGAACAAGCAAAAGCAGATAGAAAATTAAGATACCATATGAATGAAAATAATTTACATTTAAAAATAGAAGATAAAGTATTGCTTAAAAACGAAACAGGTCATAAGCTAGATAATAGATACGAAGGTCGTTACGACGTATTAGATATAGGATTAAATGACAACATAACTATTAAAATATGAAATAAGAAACAACAAGTAGTACATAAAGATAGGCTCAAAAAACAAAAATAGAATTAACAAGAAAGGAAGCTAACTTCGGCACGCCGAAGTTTATATACCCTTGCAGATAGAACTTCTATGACTAGAAATCCATACAATATAAATTATATATATTTGTGTTAAAAAACCATGAAGTAATACCTGCCTTCATTTCATTCGCCTATACATATTATATTTGCAGTTTTACATTCACAGAATTGCATTTTTCCTCTACATCAAACGATCGTTTGTATGGCACCTATATGATATAGTCGTCCGATTTCCATGAAATTTGACATAAAATTTGAGACTAAAATAGAATGGCTATACCTCAAATTTGATGAAAATCTGTTGAAAACTAAAAAAGTTATAATTTTTAATTGTATTAATTTTTCGATCGTTCCTATGGGAGCTATATTATATAGTAGTCCGATTTTTACGATTTTACGCAAAATTGTAGAGTATAATAAAATGGCTATATATCAAATTTGATCAAATTCTGTTGAAAACTGAAAATGCTATAATTTTTTTTGTAAAAATTTTCCGATCATTCCTATGGCAGCTATATGAGATAGTCGTCCGATCCGGCCCGTTCCGACATACGATCCGATATACCGGTGAGAGTATATAAAAGACTAACTACAACGTTTCATTCAGATAGCTTCAAAACTGAGAGACTAGTTTGCGTAGAAACGGACAGACGGACAGACGGACAGAAGGACGGACGGACAGACGGACATGGCTAGATCGACTCGGCTGTTGATCCTGATCAAGAATATATATACTTTATGTGGTCGGAGGTGCCTCCTTCACTGCGTTGCAAACTTCTGACTGAAATTATAATACCCTGCAAGGGTATAAAAACAAGGCCAAACATCTAATATTAAAAATAAAAAAACCGCCTGATCAGCAATTAAAAAAAAAAATAATAATATTAATAATAGGGACATAAATATAATTGAATTTAATAATTAAAAAAAAAAATAAATAAAAATAAAAAAAATAATAATGTTCATTCCATTTATTCATTTGATTCATTATTATTAATAATATTAATATTATTATTAATATTAATCATTTATATTAAATAAAGATATAATTAATATTAATTAATATATTAATTAAGAATAAATGCATGTATACCAAATTACAAAAAAAAAAATGCAAAATGTTACAATTATGATATATTTGATAGAAAATAACTTTATTTAATTTCGTTATTTTTCTAAAGGAGGGAGGTGTAGTATGCGAATATATCGGCAACATTAAGTTGCATTAAATAAATAAAAAGCTCCAGTGGACGTAAAATAAGATCACCCAGCAGCATTCCCACGCTGACCGCTTTCACTCAATTATGCTGCACTCTAAGCCTGCATTCACACGCTGACCGCATGCAATATACATATACAGTTTGTCAAGTAATTCTTTGCAAAACGAAAAATCCCTCACAATTTTGGGTTTAAGCTGAAAATTTATTGACAAATACAAGAATTTTTTAAAATTTTCTTTTATAATATTATTAGGATAACTTTAATATATGAATATAAAAAACAAAACTTAAATATTTTAACTTAAAACATGGTAAAAAATAGCAAAAACAAAAACATTGCCATTCGTATGCTGTCAATTAATTCTTTGCAAAATGCAAACAGGAGTTGAAGAGGTTCCTAGAATTAAGCAACGCAAAGCAAATTCTGCGGAAAATTAACGCTTGCCACTTCTTAGTGGTCTTTACTTTTATATTCTTGAAAAATTTCGTTGGAAAAAGTTCGTGTTTGATCGAGTCCAGAATTTTAATCATGCCCGGCAAACGAATTGACGATAATAACATAGAATTGGTTTACTTTAACCATTATAAAGGGTAATCGGCGTCGGAACATTCAGAAATTTTTGATATTAAGTTAGGAACAATGTATAAAATAATTAAACGGTCTAAAAAGAAAAATAGACTTGACCTGTACAATTCTACAGGCAGATTACCAAAAGCTCTCCAAACGCGACCATTATAAAATTTCGAAACAAATTGATAAAAACCCGCCAACAACCCTCAGAAAGTTGGCTTTGGACTTATAAAATTATTGCAGAAAAACAGGTTGCCATGAGACTGTGAGGAAAGTCCTGAATCTCCACAAATACTCCTCACACATTGCCAGGAAGAAACTAATGCTTTCAGCTATAAATATTGAAAGGCGGTTTAATTTCTCTATCGGCCACGTTAACCAGCCTCCTGAGTATGGGGATGAAGTTTTTTTTTGTGACGAGACTAAAATATACACATATATTTGTAAATTTTGTGTATATATACATATACACTCTTGGCTGACCCAATAAAGTTTGGAGGAAACCAAACACAGGTGTCCTGCCGAAGAATATCATACCAACATTCAAATTTTGCAAGTTTTCTGTGATGATAAGGGGGTGCATATCATCCAAAGGAGTTGGTGAGCTGCGGATTTTTAATGATATAATGACGAAGGAGTTTTATTTGGACATCCTTAAAAAGGAATTGACCAGAAGAGCGGAGAAATTTGGTCTGCATGACGTAACTTGTCCAAAAAGAAATAAATATTAACTGCACCAGGAAAACAAACTACAGTTCAAATCGCAGCTGTGCAGGACCTGGCTCCTGTTAATTGCAAAAAAGTCATTGACACTCCTGCGGAAAGCCCAGATACAAATATGAATAAAAATTTTTTGGAAAAGAAAGTGACTAAACGGACTCCAACAAATAAAAAGGGTTTAATTAAAGTAATACAGGAGAAATGGGAGAAAATTCCTGAATATTACGACTTGAAGGGGCTAATAATGCCAATGTCGCGACGCCTCCATGCTGTAATAGATGCAAATGGACTCCACATAAAATATTAACGCCGCAGCTATTATAGTTTTTAAGTTATCCTTGGTAAACTATAACGTCTTTGCAAATTGCAAAGAATTAATTGACAGCATACGAATTGCAATGTTTTTGTTTTTGTTATTTTTTACTATGTTTTAAGTTAAAATATTTAAGTTTTGTTTTTTATATTTATAGATTAAAGTTATCATAATAATATTATAAAAGAAAATTTTAAAAATTCTTGTATTTGTCAATAAATTTTCAGCTTAAACCCAAAATTGTGATGGATTTTTCGTTTTGCAAAGAATTACTTGACAAACTGTACATATATATGCCTATAAGACTCTCTCTCCCTTTAACATAATATATATAATATATATATTCAGCTGCGCTTCTGCCGCTGCCAACGGCAGCGGAGTCGCATGCCATTATTATGTACTTAGGCTAAGTCTACCAAATTATTTTGAATAAAGAACATTCTGCAACTGACTGCTTATGAGCACAGACATGCTAATCATTTTAATAATAAATATAACAATACATGGTTACAGTGACTTATAACAATACATGGCGACAGTGACTTATAATCGTACATCGTACAGGGTAACAAAGTTCCAGTCATTAAGCACATTTTATTACCATAATAAAGAATGGGTGTCATGTACATTTTTCTAATCGTATGTTATATTTTGAGCGGTAAGAACCTATTATACAGGTATAAACTTTTTAACCATAAAAAGATAATAGCAGTAGCCCTAGAACGGAATCTTGAGGAGTAGAGCAGACACTGACAAGAAGAGAATACATTGTATTGAAGACTAACTTTCCATAACAATTCAACAACTATTCGTTCTATCCATATTCAAGCCTGATTTCTAATCCACCAAAAAAGTAACTTTATCTTAATAGCATATGTATCGTTACACAAAAATACAATAGACTTACGGGCAAGGTAGACCATTTCAGCATTAGACTCCGAAACTTTTTTGAAGAAGTATTCAACAACATTAAGCACAGCTACAAACGCTGAGAATATTAAACTGAAAATATACAGAAATAACAAAAATATATATAAATTTAAAATGTATTGTAAAATAAATATAGTTGTAAGAGGCATGGCCGTCAGCCGACAGCATGCACAGGGGGATCAACGGATAACTGAGTCATCTGCCGGTCTTCGGTCGAGTTCCGACCGGGATGCTGACCAATTCTAGTAGGGCGAATCGGTCCAGACGGACTTTGCTACATGGAAAGAACTTTCTTTTCATGTAGAATCGCTCAAGGGGTACTTACTGTTTAGTATTTGTTTTAAATTTTTTTAAATTCTATTTGAAATAAACGAAATAATTAAATATTGTAATTATTTTATAATTGAGTAAAAGACATTTTTGCATTTGCATACCTAGTGAATTTTAGTATCTATATATTGTTGTTTCTGTTAAAAATTGATACAAATTAAATAATTTAAATAAATTAATCATTTTTATTTTGTTTTGGAGACATAAAATACAAACATTATATAATTGTAAAGCTTACATAATTATGGAACATTCCCCAAATTTCCCGATTTATCGAATTTATTATTATTTGTTCTGAAGATGTAGGCAAAGGAAAACTCGTTTTTAATTTCCGTTTTCGGGAATTCTAAATAGTTTAAAAAACAAACCATAATAATTGTATAGAAATAATTACTGTTTTAACAGCGTGCACAGTTAAAAAAAATATCCAAAAAGAGTAATACACTTTGAGCGAAAAGCAAAGAATTCTATCTTGAACGGGAATCATGCCGTAGGCTTTCCCCGTTTCACATACTTTTCTATCCTGAAGCAAAGTCCGACTGACTGGGCTGACTGACTTCCAAGTTTGCAGCTGATAGGTTAATCCACTTGTGTATGAACTGAGCCTTCGCAGGAGTGGGCAACCAGTCGAGCAAAACGGGCTTTCATAATCATGGTGGAATTGTATATTACTCCATTGCGAACGGTTGTTTATTTTTGTTTTCGCTCCGATATATGTGTTTATTTTTGATAACCCACTGGGTTTTCTTTCAATTCTTCATTAAACATTACTAATTACATACACCGTACAGGCTCCAGGTACCTTCACACTGAGGCACAGCATGACCTTATAGATGGCTTACTTGATTAGTCTTTATCTCAAGTTAACCATGTGCATAACTCATTAAACCGCTTACTTGATCTTTGCCTTGTCTCTGATCCAGTAGGCGAAAACTTTAGTTGAGTTTCTCCATTGAGCCTGAAGATTCTTTCCATCCTGCTTTCGAAGTGACTATCGATACGTGGAATAATTTAGGAATTAAACCTAATGGAAAGGCTGACAAAGTCCGCTGTTTTCGAAAAGCTAACTACCAAAAGCTAAGTACTTTGATATCCGAATTTAATTGGTCGGATCTGTACACGTGCTCTGACATGGCAACCGCCGTAGACATTTTTTACAGTGCCATGAACTCTTTCTTTTCATTAAGTGTTCCGGTAATAAACCGCCTTGGTTCAACAAAGAGCTAACACGCCCAAAAAATGTAAGATCTGGACTTTCTAATAAATATAAACTCACCGGTTCCCACACTATTCTCTCTAGTTATCTTGGTCGAATTTTACCGTGCTTGACGCTCAGTGTTATAAAATTATTTGCGCTTTGAAGGGTTCAGTATGTACAGAACCCAAAACAGTTTTATAACTTTGAAAACACTTAGTGTAAACCCAATTTATATCCTTCCTCGCTAACGTTTAATAATACTCCGCAAACTCTGACCAAGCCATCGCCGATCGTTTTGCGGAGTTTTTTAAAACAACATTTCTCCTTCTTCCACTTCAAGTCAGATATATTCTTTTACTACGTCCAGTTCGAACTTAACCTTCAGTCCCATCTTAAACGAAAACTCTTTTATTTTAGATCTGAAACGTGTTAAGCCAATATATTCCCAATGGAATACCATGCTGCGTGCTAGGGTTTTGTGCTGAGGCTCTGTATCACCCCTTTCTAAAGTTGTTTACCTTATATTTATAATTGCAGAATTTCCCCTTATTTGGAAGAAATCTTTTGTTATTCCTTTCCACAAGAAAGATAGCCAATCGGATGGCAAAAACTATAGGGGTATTTTTAAGTTATCTAATCGAGAATGTAATCACTTCCCACTTGCAACACTGATCCGTCATTTCTCCATGTCAGCATGGTTTTATGAGACGAAATTCAACCACAATTAATCTTTTGGAACCAGTTTGTTATAAGAAGCTTTCAACGTAACCTTCAGAACGTTGTGATTAACACGGACTTTGGTAAATCTTTCGACTCGGCTAATCACATTCCGTTTTTTTTCTGCCCGCTTGAGTGTCGTTTGCTTTTGGGTGCAGCTAAGTGGTTTAAAGCTCCCGCTCACGTTCATTTGTTCTAATGTTAACCGCTAATGTTTTTTTGGATTTGGATCGTGCATAGTGGTTCAAGGACTTCTGATAATGTCTTCAGGTAATGTCTGTGCAATTAAAAATTGCCGTAACGGTGTTTTTGCTGATCAGCCAAGTCTCCATTGCTGGCTTTGCGACGCGGTAGTGCATGCAAAACGAAAATGAGGTTTCAGGCAGCATAACTGATGCCATTTCCAGCAAAAAAGGATTGCATTATTGCTGTGAGGCTTGTCGCTCGGTTGACAGGGAAATGTCCTTCATGCGCCAGACCAAGAGCGGATTAACTGATGTTATGGTCAACTTGCGCAAAGCGAATGACCTGCTCTCCGCGCTAGGTACTCAGTTTAACAGTATGAAGCTGTTGTCGCCAAAACGCATAAAATAACTACTGGTCGGCAGCAACTGTGTAAGTCACAGCAACTCATTACCTGCCACACCCCCGCGCCACAGCGCCACAGTTCTGGAGATCTGGAGCGAAAAAGGATTCGGAAACCGAATCGAGCGTGGGGATAACGGTAACAGCTTAACCAGTAATTTCCGTTTTGTCCGCTGCGGGGTCAGAATCTTTTACTCCACGTAATTCCATCAAAATAATGACCCAGGGTACATTAACGCCTGGACTTCCGGTCGATGTTAGTAACAATACGTTACGTAAGACCTTAACAGCAGTTCCACCGTCGAAAACTATATTTGTTTCGTGGCTTGCCCCTGATCTCCCATCGGAAGATGTTCTAGCCTATATACGAGGCAAACCCCAAGCTGATAATGTTTAGGTGGAAAAATTTAAATTTTCATATGTCAGAGACATTTCATCTTTTAAGATAAGTGTCTTCTTCAAACTTTTTGACACGAATAGGTCATTTATACGCCGTATTTATTTTCTTGTTTTATTCTCGTCGGAGCTGCATCTGCCGATCGGACGCTTGGCTTCAAATATATATTAGCTTACAATGTAGTTTTGCTTGATAGATAAGGCGACAGAAGAAGAAGGGAGAGAGAGAGCAATAGACAACAAAGAGAATGCCTAAGAGCGCAGCAGGCGCAGCGATACACCTATGCGCACATAATTAGGAGCGAACGGTCTGCTCCGAACAGAGTACGTGAGTAACAAAAAAAAAAACGGCCTGTGCAAGTACAACTACACAAGCCGGCACAAGCAACAGTATCCACTGTTGTACCTTCTGTCCCAAAAACTAACCTCTTCCTTTCTTTTTTTCTATCAGAATACTAGCGGCTTACGCAGCAAGCTCTCAAAGCTGTATTCTGATAGCTAATCTTTTGCATCCCAGGTAATTGTGTTTACTTAAACTTGTTTGAAGCCAGAGATACTCTGCTGCTAAATGATATAGTCGTCCAATTTTCATAAAATTTTACACAAAATTGTAGAATAATATGAAACTATATCTTAAATTTGATTAAGTTCTGTTGAAAACTAAAAATGTTATCGCCACCGCGATTGTCAGTCTTCCGACAACAGCCACCGCCATTCTCATTCTTCTCAAATTTCTCGATCGTTCCTATGGGAGCTACATGACATATTTTTCCGATTTTCATAAAATTTTACACAAAATTGTAGAATAATATGAAACGGCTAAATCTCAAATTTGATGAAAATCTGTTGGAAACTGAAAATGTTATAATTTTTTTTGTACAAATTTTCCGATCATTCCTATGGCAGCTATATGATATAGTCGTCCGATTCGGCCCGTTCCGACATATAAACGAGTGAGAGTATATAGAAGACTAACTGCAAAGTTTCATTCAGATAGCTTCAAAACTGAGAGACTAGTTTGCGAAGAAACGGACAGACGGACAGAAAGAGAGACGGACATGGCTAGATCTACTCGGCTGTTGGTCCTGATCAAGAATATATATACTTTATATAGTCGGAGGTGCCTTCTTCACTGCGTTGCAAACTTCTGACTGAAATTATAATACCCTGCAAGGGTATAAAAACAACATAACACACAAAAATATTAAAACAAATAACATACATATTTCAAGAGCTTGTCTTGAAAAAAAGGAAGTTATGTCTGTATTGATAATATATTTCAGATTTTTATAAAATGTATTAAAATTCTAAAATAAAAAAATGTATTATATTGAAAAAGAAAGAAAGCTAACTTCGGCACGCCGAAGTTTATATTCCCTTGCAGATAGAGCTTCGATGACTAGGAATCAATACAATATAAATATTTATGTTAAAAAACAATGAAGTAATACCTGCTTTCATTTCATTCACCTATACATATTATATTTACAGTTTTGCATTCACAGAATTTCATTTTTCCTTCACATCTAACGATCGTTTGTATGGCACCCATCTGATATAGTCGTCCGATTTTCATAAAATTTGACACAAAATTTATGACTTATATAAACTGGCTATATCTGAAATTTAATGAAAATCTGCTAAAAACAGGAAAAGTTATAATTTTTAATAGTATTAATTTCTCGATCGTTCCTATGGGATCTATATGATATAGTAGTCCGATTTTCACAAAATTGTAGAATAATATGAAACCCCAATATCTCAAATTTTATAAAAATCTGTTAAAAACTGTAAAAGTTATACTAACCCAAGAGGCAAGAGGCAAGAGGCAAGAGGCTTACGTAGT